TGTAATTTTATTTTCGGCACCTCAGGTCATTTTGTAATAAAGTTAATGTGTTTTTGTAATCAAACACAAAAATATATTTTTGATATTTTCATCACATGTATGAATAAGCTGTTCCACCTAGATTTGTAGTTTACATTCAATTTTTTCCTTAAAGCTAGGTGTGACATGTGGTATAAAATGCCCCTCATCCACACTTCAAGCCTTCCAAAGGACCAATTTTGCCTGTTGCTTCACTTGCCTTGCCATGATCACTAAGCTTCAATCTACCACGACCTAGTGTGTTGCTTGAGGTGCCTCAGCTCCTAGCACCATGAGGGTGACAACCACCCTATCACCACCAGTTTGTAGTGATCCTCACGTGGGAGCTCCCAGGTGCACGTACTAGCGATGACCTCCCTCGCCATCTCCATGCTCAGCATAAAGAACCATGGCTCTACTCAGTGATCAGGCCACATGTCCAGGCACTAAAGACTGCTTTGTTTCCACCTCCTATGATCATGATGCGGATCTGCATGACTAGAAAGGAGAATGCTCTAGTTTCTTGGGCCATGCATGCATCTCCCTAACGCGCTCTGCACTAACCAACCATGTCTTGAGAAACACTTGTACCTCCTTCCTAGTTTTCTTCTTCACCACCTGCATCAGAAGATCCATTGCGAGAGTGCCAAGAAGGTGTGCTTGCACATTTTTGTCCTGCCTCATGTCGATGTCCATCCCGATCGCCGACTTGATTGTCAACAAGACTCCTTGATCTTCCATGATTATTGCCACCTAAATGGCCCAGCTTGTGTAGTTCATCGTTGTTAGTTGCGGATACACAAATAGCCTACCATAGGAGGTCTCCCATGAACCCTGTCTATCAGTAATGATCGATATCAGATGAACCAAGGAAATTTGGGCATGCACAACCTCGCTCTAATACCAAATGATGGCAAATAAATCAATATTGCATGCCCATGTTGTAGTAGATTTTTCCTCTATTCTGAAATTAACAACATAAGTAGAATATCTTAATCAAATTACAGAATGAAACTAATGCTATTTATATTAGCATCGAGCTACATTGAGCAAACCATGAACACCACATGTTATTTTTGGCCACGCAAACCCGATGTGGTCACCTGCATGCTCTGTCCATCAATGCAAGTGTTGATCGTCCAACTTGCCATGACTAGGAATTGGTCCAACATGGGTACGTTAGAAAACTTCTGATTTGCTGAAGTCCTAACACGCCTTGCAATTTAGTAATCTCAACAATGCACAGTTCATATATTTCTTGACACGACTTGCACTTAGAGAAAACTAGAGTATGCAAAGAGGAACAAGAAATATTTTAAGATCAAATCTTACTAAATAACCACAACATTTATTGGGGAAACAAGCCATATTTTATATTGGGTTATTGTCCCACTTGTCATAGCTTGAAGCAATTTTGTGGTGATTCGTCCAAAAAGTTTGGAATCATGGAGATGCATGTGTAAGAAAAGAAAGTAGACTTTACTGGCATGCCTATTCTTTTGTTCAACGGAGCCACTTTGTTGGCAAACATGCTGAGTAAGACCTATGATGACTGATGAGAGATACTAATATTAGTAATAAAAGGAGTGCAAGCTTCCATGCTCTCCTTCCTAATTCGTTTGTACATCAATGAATTTTTGATCAAATCATCTATCAGCTAAGGTTTGAAAATCATATGGTAAATTTACTATTATAATTAGTAAAGATGACATGTGCTTAAGAAGATAAACATTGGTAAATTTACTATTATAATTAGTAAAGATGACATAGTTTTCTCCTTACGAATTAATTTAGTAGTATGACACAAACATCATGAAACACAAGCTAATCATTGGAAGATCCGGCAACAAATGGCTCTTTCCTTTTGGATGTGCATCAAAAATAGATTGTTCCTTGTGTTCACTTGTATAACTGATGAACAATGGAAAAAAAATGTGTGGCCTAACTGATTATGCCAAGTGTTGGATGAAGGTTTCATGGTGCCACAAGGAAGCTTTCCAACAAAAGCGCACCACATGGAATGGGGTATCGGCCACATCTACATTTTCCTTGCATAAGTGTTTTCCTTGTTACATTCTAACTAGAAAGTCTTTTGGTGAAATTTGAGAAATCATTATTATTGGTAAGAAGTTTTTGAACATAGATTGGATTCTTTGAAGCTTTAGGGACATGAATAACATCTTTGGGACCAAGATTGACCAACATATCTAATTTCCATACCTAAAGCATTTGCAACATGGATCTGGTCATTGTGAGTAAAGTTCTCCAACTGAAATTAGTTCAATACGAGCAAGAACTTCAGAAACAATAGGGTTATATTCCCTGTCCAAGTTGGTAACAATGTACGAAACCAATTATTCAACATCAAGGAGCATGACAATAAATGTCATCACACCAGCTAACGCCTTCATCTGCTGATATATTCAGCAATCATTATGGTGCGCTTATAGGAAGTCGCTAGGCGATCCTATGGTCGATAACCATGTCATGAGTCTATGAGGCATAGATGGCCTCGAGCCCTCTTCATACTTGAGCTACAGTTCCATATATATAGTTGCCACCATCTATGCCAATCCTGCCTAGAGAGGGTGATAGCATGTAGCTAAGAGCATGCAAGTCTTTAGCCAGCCACTAGGCATAGACATGGTTCAACTTGTACACAATCTTGTGTCATCCTTATCATTGATCTAGACATCAAGAATAGCCATAGAAGCATCAAGGAAGCCTACCAGCCATATGCATTGTGCATCGCATGGATGACATGTTTATCTTTCATAGAACATAGACTTGGTCAGCTTCTCACTCATCTGATGACGAAGAGCCTGCACTACTACATAATTCATCATCACCAATGATATTTTCACCGCCATTTTGCTCCAAATCTTTGGTGATGCTCATCACTGCCGGTTCGTGTTACGAACCGCTGTTGAAAATGGGGGCGATTATCACCATTGGTTGGTAACACAAACCGTTGGTGATAGTCCCTCATCATCGCCAGTTTGTGTTACCAACTTTCTGTGATGATCGCCCTATTTTCATTTTGGTTCATACCATGAAGCGGCGTTGAAAACCACTTTCACCAATGGTTTGACTTTTGAGCCGGCGGTGATGACCATATTGCAGTATAGTAAAATTAATAACTTCTCCAATTCAAGTCAGATGGAGATGAACTTTGTATCAAAGTTTTAGATCTCGATGAGATCGACAACTTTATAGTTGATGACCTTTTCATTTGAAATCTAGTACGGTCCCAAAATTCAGTTTAAAGTGTCATATATTTAAATTCAATTTTTTGAACTATCCAAACAACCTCATATGGAAAAAAGACCAAGACCAAAGTTGTAGATCTCGATGGGAATTGCAGCTTGGTATATGGTCGCTTTGCCATTTGAAATCTTTTACAGTTCGTAAATCAATTTCTCACAATTTGAAATTGAAAATTTTCAAACGATCTCGGATGGAAAAATGACAAAAACCAAAGTTATAGATCTTGGTGAGAACTACAATTTTGTAGTTGATGTCCATTTCATTTGAATTCATTTAGGTTCCAAATATTCATTTCAAAATTAAACTTAGTACAAGGCAAATGTATATGCCCTTTAGACACAAGTAACTTTGGGTGGAGTGGTTAGAGGAGTTACATACGAGGGCACAGGTCACAGGTTCTAATCCCGCTAGCGCACAACGTCGTATTTTCATGTGACAAATCGAGAGACTAGAGTTTTCTGTGAAAGGTCACCCTATGCCATTGTATTAACACTTGGCACATCACAAGACACATAAATTAAAAATATATAGCTCCAACTAAAGTATGGTAAAGACACATCTACAACAAATACATGAAATATTCTATTCTACGGAACAAACTTCAACCACCTAGTCTTTGTCGATCCTAAGCTAGAGCTATATGTCTATTACAAGGAAAAAGAAATTTGACAATATCTCTAACACATAGTATCAGTCGATCCTAAGCTAGAGCAATATATGTATGGGTCCTTATCTTATTTTTCTTTCTTGTTACACCTAGTGATATATGTTGCATTTTATTTTTTACATTTTAGACCATCAAGAGCTCATTTGATTTCAACTTTGATAGATTAATGCATGAGAAACTTTTACATAAATTAAAAGATATCTCTAATAACTTGAAAAAAGATATTATTTTTTATTGGCAGTTTGCTTCACTTTCTAAGTAGTATTTTTTTCCTGATACTATGGTGGTCAATTTATAAATTTATAGAAGATTTTGGTTATTGTTTTGTATGTGATGGCTGATTTTAAAAAGAGTGGACTTTTCCATTTTTTCACCCTTTGTTTAACATGGGAATTTTTGGACCTAGAGAGACAATGCACATTATTTTTTTCTCAGTCAACTAGTGTACTTGGTATTTGCTGATAGTCTAAAACCATTTTTCTGGAAATTTCTTGCCATGATCCACCTAGTACCTAATTCAAATTTTCTACTATACTTGAAAATTTCATAATGTAACACAAAGTTATGATTCGATAAAACATCATCTCTTGAAGTACCAACATTTTACACGTGGATTTAGAAAGATTTGACACTGTTTTCATATTATCTCAGGAAGGGTGGAGGACAGCCTGCAATTGCAGAATCCTGCAATCTCTATTTGTGGCTATTCATCTAATCAAACTCCCAGTCCTCATCATTACAAGTATCTTACGCCCCACCATCAAGTAATTGAAATGATTATCTCACATTTCATATGGTTTATGCTTGAGATATTACATGGTTCATGCTCTGGTTAGACACACAGAAATGCTAACCAATAACATAAAGGAAAACTTAAATTTCTCCACTTTGCTAGAGCACAATAGCATGAGACACACGAAAACATTCTAAAATAGGATCCTTACTTGCAGTAGACATAGACCACCATGCAAGTAGAGCTGGCATGAATGGTTACTGCAGGAGCGACGATGCCTCACTCCGTCAGAGGCCAAGGATCCCTTTCCCGTGTCTATGGGAACCTTGAGAAATAATCCATATTGTAAGGGTGCATCATGTCAACCCCGCCACTGCTACCGGCGAAGGCACGGGAGACAATGGTGCCAAGCTCCCCTCCGTTGGTGGTGAGGCTAGCCATCCAATCCTGCTGCTGGGGTGGCACGTGTCCCACCACTAGCACCAATGATGTTTGTATCTCATTGAAAGTGTAGGGTGCTAGTGGCTGGGCTGACGATGACCCTAGCTGCAGTGGCAAAGTGGGCTCCGGTGCTGCTCTCTTTCCCTGCCAGATGCCAAGCTGACGAAGTTGTTGTATACGTTCTTTGACTTTCTTAGTCTTCTCTTCTACCATCTCGCCAAGGCTGGTGCGTACCTTCTCAGTCTGCCGATGAGGCCAGGGCGGTGTCCATCCACGCGCTCATAGAGAAGGAACGAGACCTCACGTTTGTAGTTCTCATGTTCCAACCTGCTTACCTAGTGTTGGAGCTTGGGGATGCAGCTGCTAAGAAGTTCCTCCTGATTCTACGTTTTCTTGAATCTTTTACCACAATCTGGCATGTCCATGAATTTTTGGAACATAGCTTTGGCCTCCGAGTCATTAGGCCAAGCCAATGGCTTAGCTTGATTCTCGCCGTACAACACCACACCCACCTTGCTGCCGCAAAGCGTGGCTAGCTCATCCACATTCTTCTTAATTCCATCGCGGCGCCTCCTAAAAGTTGCACCACGGCTAGAGGCTTTGGTGATCCATTGGAGATTCACCTTCTTGCGAGCCATGATCCACTACTGGAAACTCGAATACTTCTGTGGGTGATTAATTTTTCTGTGCGTTTTTCTCTATACACACAGAAAAATTCATAATTTTTTCTGTGCGTTTCGAAAACCCACAGAAAAATTGTGTGATTTTTCTGTGCGTGTCAATACACACAAAAAATTGACATTATTCTATCGGTCTTTTCAAAACTCACAGAAAAACTATAAACACGCACAGAAAAACTATATACAAAAAAAAGATCTGCGTCAATACACCCAGACGCAGCCTCCTATCCCTATCCCAAATGCGCCACCCGCACCCGCCCGAGATCACGCCCGCACTCCCGTCGCTCCTAGGTCTCGTAGCGGCCACCCCCTCCTCTCTTCCACCGTCATTGCGTCCACCCCCTCCTCCACCGGTAAGGCCACCACCCCCTCCTCCACTACAACTCCTCCCCTCCCTTCCCTCGGAAGACGGCGGTGGCTGCCCGTGCAAGGCCGGATGGCGGCGCCTCCGCCCCCAGATCTGCCTCCTGCCGCACCAAGGAGCTTCGCCGCCCGCCGCCCCCAGATCTACCTCCCCCTCCTCTCTTCCACCGTCGCGGCGGCCACTGCCGCCCCCAAATCTTGCACGGGAGATCTTGTCATCCTAGGGCCTGGGCTAGGGTTACCGCCCCCATTTCACGCCTCTCCTTCCTCCTCTGGTTTGGTGCACTCTCTCCTCTTCCTCCCCATTGAGCTCGCTTGACCTATACGGTCAACCTCCACTGGCGGATTCATGTTGGTCCTCCAGTGCTCCGATAGTATATCTCACCTGCCCCCATCTCCTGCCCCTCTCTGTTGAATCGTTTGTGGATTTTGTTTGTCGTCCACTGATATTAGGGTTCATGTTCTTAGATACTTAGATCTGGGCGACATTTTTGTTGATCTACATGTTTACATTTTCTTTCGTCTTGTTCCACCCTTAGATCTGTGTGATGTGCACCTCTTATTTGTTGTACACATGTGTTGTTGCCTAGATTTTGCACATGATGATGCCTAGTCCGATTTACAAACTGAGCAAAGTGCCTTGGTCGATGATGTTTACTTAACCCTAGGCGCTGGAGGAGCACCCTATGGTGTGGCAGCTGCGTCTTGCTTAAGTCCATAGCTCTGATTCTAGTGAGGGTTCTTTGTGCTGAAGCATCTAGAATTTATGACACTGATGTTCAATCTCTTGATATGACTGTGATGTTCAAACTCTTGATATCTATTTGGCCAATGATGCAACATAAAAAATAAGCTCTGAGGTGGCTGCAATTTATTTTTTGTTCATTCTGTATGATTCTCATGACTGTCATCAAACCATAGGACATGATCTTAGTTTTCTTCTATCTGTTTTTATTGCCTTGGCAGCCACCTATGATTGAGTATCTGGAAATTGTATCAACATATCATTAAGCTGAGGCCTCACTTACTTTGCCAATGATGATATCATATTAAGCATGCCAAGAACTGATGACCTTGAGCTTGTGTTGAGGTACTGGAACTTTGTTTCTTACTCTGTTTGTTTCTTATGCTCCAAGCTCAAGGTCAACCGAGGAGCAACTAATATCTGAGGCCAATGTGTTGAATACTACATCATTTGATCACCATCTTATTATTGGTATTTTGTGTACCTGGGCTACATGCCATGCACAGGTCACTGGTTTTGCGTGCTAATCTACGCTGACTGTTTAAGACTGAGACTTTGAGTACTATAAGTGGGTCCTAACTCTAGTAGAACTGTTAATACCTACGCCTTGTCATCATGTTTTGTTCAGCGCTCGTGACCTGTTTTTTTCTTCTTATTATTATTTTGAGATATCATCACTACTCTGTGCTAGTATATAACTGATCTGTTCCTTTGCACTGCCTTACTTTCTTGAGCCTTCTCGTGCTGATTATTTGTTGAAGGCAATGCTTAATTCAATATATTTGTAAAAGCTGGGTCCTTTAGATGGTGCTTTTGTTGTAATATAGGAATATTATGGGTTCAACTTCTCACATGGAATATTATGGGTTCAACTTCTAGAAGAATGTTCATTTCCATTTCCTGCATTAGACTTGGCATTTGGTCTTCCAATTCCATCTCCAGCATTCCAAGCAAAGCCTCCCCAATCAGTGGAATTGTCCTACACCTTAGCATGCACTTCCCATGAATTATCTTGATCTGCTGGCTTTGCAACCGCTCCACCTCCACTACTCCAGCCTCCCCAATTAGTGGAATATTTTGTGAGTTTTCATTTCCATTTAGGTAGATATAGCAATTTAAGATATTTTGTTTTGTTTGCTGCTTAACTAGGATGAGTGAAGCTTCCTGCGACAAACAATGGCATGGCACATATGACATGGATTTGTGTGCCGTCTGAGGCTTGCTTGTGTCAATTGCAATGTCTTCACTGTTTGCTTGTATAGCATCCGCTCTATTTGAATTGATCTGTATACCATCCTCATGATTTGTATGTGAGTCATTGATGAGCCTCTATGATCAGACTGTACACTTCTACTAGTGCATACCTTACTGATTTTGAATTGGCCTGACATTGTTCCAACCTTTTCAGAGTCTGAGATTGGCACTTGATTTGTATCATAGCTGTCTTTAGTGTTTTTCTTAGTGTATGGTAGATGTGCTGATACAAGCATTGTTGATATAAACCATGCAGTCTAGTGTTCATGCTGTTGTACTTAGGTTTGCAGTTTGACATCTAGAAGTTAGCTGCCAAGTTACTACCACTTTCGCTTTCTCTTGATTGTTTTCATCCAGCCTTTTAACATTCTTAAAACTGTTTGGCGCTATGTGAAATGGTTGAGTATTTGTGTGCATGCTCCATTTGGTTTACTTCCATTTGCAATGTGTTCTGATGTCCTTATCTGTAATGCCATGTCTTCATTTAATAGAGAATGATATAGTGCACTGACCATTTGTCCAAAATCTGAACACTTTTAGGCATGGGAATGAGTTTGCACCTACTGTTGGACTCTTTCTCACTACACACCTATCTAAGGTACTTCTTCCTATTGGCCTGAAGCATGTGTATCGACTGCAGAGAGGTTATTTGTACTGAGTATTCTTTATAGGATTAAAATGCATTCTATTCTTTGAGTTATTGACAATTCATCACCGTATGCTAAGGAAAATTGTCCTTTTTTTATATATTTGGGATGAACTGTTGAATTGATCAATAAATCTATTAGATGACTCATGTTTCTTTTATTATGTTTCAGCAGGAGGTATCAAATAAGATAGTGAATCATAACGTAATATGCTTTATAATTATCTTAACCTTCCATTTTTGTACTTTAATTTTCAAGCATTTCTTTTATTTTCACTTACTAAACAGAAAAGATGCATTAGCTATAGTATTGTGAACTAGTTAATCCATTTAAAGTAATGCATAGCACATTCCATGCTGTCTGGCTTACCATCCTATTGTCTGCTGATCTGTATTGCCTGTCTTTGATTGAAGGTTCTCAGCATGAGCAGGCTGGGCATGACGGAAGTCGTCGTCCCGCTCCTGACGGAGTCCCAGACCGAGGTAAATCACATCACGCGAGCCTGAATGAACTCAGAATACATTGTGCGTGCTTCTTGTGACTAGGCTGTTGCTGGCAATGCAGAGCTCCGGTGGCCTTCTCCTCCCCCCCGGTCGCTCGAGCTCGAGGCTCAGCAGAGCAATGGCAAAGCGGAGGCAAGCGACTACTGTCGTCGTCTATTTTTGACATAAGTGTTGACTATTTGTATATTATTTGAATGAAACCTTGTTGGTCATGCATAGAAAGTACTGTATCGAAAATATATATTTTAATATGCTATTGCTACTATTTTAAAATAATTTTTTTTGTGTGTTTAACTCTTTTTTCCTGTGAGGCTGGCTATATAGAAATATTTTTTTTAATCTGGGCGAAATGAATTTTTCTGTGAGTTCACCTAGACCGATAGAAAAAAAAACATGTGTTTTTCTGTGCGTTTATTTCTTTTTTCTGTGTGGATTAACACACAGAAAAATTAGTTTTAATCTGGGCGAACGCAATTTTTCTGTGCATGTAACACCCACAGAAAAATTGTTTCTGACGGCGAACACACAGAATAATTGAATTTTTCTGTCATTATATTTCTGTGGGTATTTTTCTGAGGGTACATCGTCAGAAAAATATTTTTCTGACGGTATTCACATTTTTCTATGTGTTTTCGCACACACAGAAAAATGCGAGATTCCAGTAGTGATCCTAGCGTTATAGGGTACCAAGCAAGAAAGCTATCCTACAAATTTGGGACCCGGACCCCTTATTCAAACATTATAGATCTTTAAACTTTCATCCTTGTAGTTGGCAGAGTTAAAAGTCAGCCTAGCGTCTACCACAACATTTATCCAAAACAAAAAAACAGGAAGGAAAAATTATTGCTTTGGTTATGAGATGTTAGATGATAGAGTGGGAAGGCTTATGTTTATATAGATCCTAGGGCTCTAGCCTAGATGAAATATAAGTGAATAGTTATTATTATAAACATGATATTATGGCAAACATTTACTTCTGGCCTAATTAGATCCATCACGAGGACTGCATGATAGTAGTCAAATGCTCGTTACTACTTTCTACCAAGGCCACCAGCGTAGAACCTTCGTCTTGAGCAGGTAGGTTATGCAGAAGTCATGTGAGACATTGCATTTAGTAATTGCCATCAAACCATTCGGCGGCTACAAATTGCAATCCATAAATCCATGCTAAAGAATCACTTGGAAAAGCTAGATCTGAGTTTAAATTGTGAGATTGCGCAAGAAAATGCCTCACTATATACGCACAAGATATGACTACTGTACTTAACATACATATGTTTTTTAGGTAATGGATGTAACCTTCGGCCATTGTGCTGCGATGTTGGTCTTGCACTGATGACTCCACTAGTCACTAGAAAAGGGTGCTCTGATCCAGTATAAGCATATACGAGAATAATGTGCAATTTTGGTGCCATCCACATGGCCTACTGTGTCATGTGCTTTGCC